TGAACATGTATGAACACATCATTGTGACAAACTTGACAGTCTGTAACATTCTGTAACTAAGGTCTGGACAGCATGGCGCTTTCAGGTGCTATCTGTACTCAAATAATCGTGTGGCTCTGGCTCACTCCAAACCAAAAGCTGCAGCTGTGATATAGGGCCACAGGCACAAAGCAAACATAAAGGACATTGCAACATGAAGGCAAACATTTCAGAAAATGAGAGAACTCTCTGAAGTGAAACATCCCGCCTCAGCCAATCTTCGCCTTTTCGTCAGGTCGAAAGGGAAGCGCCTATACAGCACCCACAGCAGCCGCTTCACGACAATTAGTTCTGCCACTATGCCAAACATTGTCATGATTGCAACTTACACCTTCTTGTTTTCCGTGATCAGCAGAATACTTTGCTGCTATGTACATTGTCCAGTTCAGTCTTCGAACTGTGCCGGAATAGGCGGTGGTCCTGGACGTTCAGCATGCTGTTCGTGTCACCAAGGAGATGAAGGCAGCTCGTCGGTCATTGAGAGGATTTGGGAGGCGCACTCAGCACTCTTCACCACATGCATTCAGCCGTCTCTCACCAAATGGCGCAGTGTCCCAACCTGCAGGGTGACCACGTGAGCTGCTCTTTTTGGCTGTCTTGTACAACTAAATCTCTTGTTCAGAAGCACCATTACGCAAATCAAAGCAAAGCACACAACATACTGTCCTGCAACCAGTAGGCGGCCGCTGCATTGGCAGCAGCAGTGCCACTTAATACCTAGTTTTGCTTGGGCATTGAGGTGACTGCGAGCAAGCCGTGTATATAGGCCGACTGTTTGTTCACAGTCACAAGTGTCAGAAGTACGCCTCAGCTCTGGACCACTTGTCTCAAGGACGCTGGTAATGACTCATCTGCGCTGATATCAATGTGGACCTGCACGAGTCTTGTCATCAAAGAGAAAACCAGCTACTGTACAGGTCTTTACAATTCTCTTGATCCTGCCTGGTATCTGCAAGACAAATCTTGCAGGAATCCACTTGGGACTAGCCTGCTATTGGTGGCAAGGCTCACACTTTGAACCACCATGAACCACCCAAATGATCCAGATTCATGGCAAGTTTATCCTGGGGCCCCCAGCGTCTTAAATAAAAGATCACTACTCAAAATGACAGGAAGTTCTGTCCGCGTGCTGCCTGCAACAACCAACAGGTGAAAAGCAAGTTGCCACCTAGCAGACTTCGCATGAGCTACGAAAAGGGCATGACGTGCAGCTGATCGATTTATCTTGTACAGTACACTCTGCACAATGGGAATGAAGCGAAAAAACAAACCGCCAATATCTGAGCGCCAAACCGGTCGAAGCACTGCGAAGTAGCAAAGCCTACGATCAGAACGAGCAGAACGACGCAAACTCTCTCACGAAATCTGACTCTCCCACTCTCAAGCGCCTCCACCTCTGGCGCCGCCTTCGTGGCTGAAGCCAAAGCATCACGCAGTGACTGCACCTGCACATTTTGGATTCACATGGGATGCATTTGGTGAAGCCGAATGCCAATCCAAAAGATCATCCACATTCCGCTTGACATGCTCTAGGTATGTGACATGCAACCGGCCGGTGAGAAACGTACAGCTGCATAATAAGTCTTACCTCTTGCTGAAAACGAGACAAACATCAACAAGTATTTAATGAGTCTCTGGTTGTTTGCTCTATGTTACTGGAACAGTACAGTAGCCTTTGGTCTGCTGTGCAGCGCTGTGGCAAAGTTGAGCAGTGGTGAACGACATTGAGAATTTCCTGTATTGGGGCCTTGTTTTGCAATTTCCTTTAGCCACACGAACGGTTCACCAGAACCACTTCCCCATGCTTTCTTGGAGAGTTTCCTTTGCTGCAAAGGCAGCTCGAAAAGGCACTCCACGTGAGTGTTCCCCGGTCCTTTTCTAACTCCTGAGATCAATCCTCGCGATCACAGAGTGATGTCAAACAACTTGTCTCGCTGAGCTTGATGAGGCGGAGGATCACTCTTGAACATGGATCATGCTACGAATCGGGCGCAGGTGAAGGAGTGCCAAATTGAATCAACTTGGGTTTTCACTGATCTGCTGCGGCATCCTGGGAATGCGCAGGGGGCCGTCAAAAATAATGAAAAGCAAATCTACTGCAAATGGCATACAAAGCTTATGATACGATATAAAAATGCCAACATCAGAGTTGCTGTTGCAGTGTTTTGCCGGTAAAGTCTTTTGCAACAACTTGCCCGAAACATTTCCGGAGCATCTGTTGCGTTTCACAAAGGCATTTTACATTGAGAATTAAGAATCATAATAACCTCTTTAACAAGTTGGAGGGGAGGTGTTTGCCAGTGATCATTCTATCCTTTTTGGACCAATACGAAGTTAAAGCATGTCAAACCGTGGAAAGTGGCGAATGCCAGAAGATTTGGCAATTAGCGTTCACAAGCTTTTGCTGCCTTCAATTGTCGCAACTGTCAGTTCGCAATCCCGGCATCTTCTCAGGAAGTTGATAGCTCAAGAATTGCACGACAAAATCTGGGTTTCAAAAACTTGCAAGAACACAAACACAAAAAACAACTGGGGAAATGACCAGGCCTCGTGCTCCTTTGTCGACTTGCTTGGCACTGGCTCAGGTGAGTGTACCATTCGCTGCTGCGAGGAAGTCATGCCATTCGGACTATTCAACATGTTGGAAGCTGGCGGGGCCTCAACAGAGCTTGGCTGCCTCGTGCTTCCAGCATGCGGAGACACCGGTGCTTGCAGTCCTTGCCAACCATTGCCGGAGCTCGCAGCTGGCATCAAATCCTTGCCTCCACCTCTTCTAGTGTTGGAAGCACTGGAGGATAAGCTGGCAGCACCGGGCCAAGCATCGGCCATTTGCCTTGCCTGATATGGCTCAGGTATGGATGCGTAGCTTTCACTTTGAGCTCGCTCTTCAAATCCTGATCTTGCCTCACCATTCTTCAACTTTGCACATATTAAACTTGCAAACAACGCCCATTACACATGGACAAAGAAAAAGAACGGGGCAGAGAGGGAGAGCGATCGAAGGGATGCAATGCAGTATGATGCAGTAGAATTCAAGAATGCGCAGCAGCAAGCATGGACCATTTAATGGACTCGAGACCAGGCCTCACTGGCCTCACTGGCCATTCTTTGCCCATCTGTCCTTTGCAGAAGCAACGGAACAACACAGAAACTCATCACTGGACAAATGCTAAGATCGCAACTGATCGCGCAGCAACCACGGTGCCGGTTCTCGAGGAGGAGGGGGGTTGCTGGGCGCATAGCCTAAACCCTGAGAGTCCAAAACTGCCAAGCTTGGCAGAACGTGGATACAAACAACTGCAAGTTCCGCCTCCCGGATTTCCCGCCGAGGTCGGCCATCTTTGCCTGGACTTGCCACTCAAAACAGTTTTCACTGCGTGCATCTCTGCATCCCTGCCTACCACTTCACCATCCACACTCTTGGCCACTGCTATGCCCTCCATGTGTGCACGGTCTGTCTTCGACATAAACTCCTGAGAACAAATGTAACTGTAAGAGGAGCAAAAGCCAGTTATAATACAATCTGATAATCACTGTAAAGCCACTCAAAGCCCATTCCAAGACAGAACAAACTGAGTCATCTAAGCATTTACAGTAGAAACAAGATGAAACAAGGAACACAGCATCCAAGTTCTTTGTGAAGACGGCCAACTCTGACTGCAATTATATATATATAATATATATATATATACGTCCAACAACGTGGCTCAAGCCATTTCAGCATCAAGCCTGGTGTGTCACACACATCGGGCTGAGTACGAGGGTGAACTACTCCTCACCGATTCTCTCGGGCCTGATCGTGAAGGACGCAGGCATCCACCCTCTTTCGACACCTCGAGCAACATCACCCCGACGAGCTCCACAAGATGGTGTCGTGGCTACCAAGTCTGTCAGGCATCCTCATGTCACAACTGGATATGGCAGGACAGAGTACGAGAAGGTACAGTCTGTCGGCAATGCGGCACCTCTTGGCAGAAGCCTTCCCAAGGATATGCTCCAAGATGGAAGACCTCACGGAGTGTCACGCCACCACCTGGCCTCTGGAAGAGCAACACCAGACCCAGCAAAGTTCAGAAACTCACCGGAGAGCTTCTTGCATCCTCATGGGATAAGCTGGACCCGGGCCTTCAACAGAAGCTCACTGAGATTGGCATCTCTCCACCTCCTCCAAGCCCTGAGCCGGACTTGCAGGATGTGCTAAGGGACAACCTGGCGCAACTTCCGGCACCTGTGAAGGAGTTGGTTGAGAAGATCACGAAGCCTCAGCCACCCACGGAAAAGGATGTCGCCAACAAGCTCAAGCACCAAGTCTCCAGCTTGAGGGATTTGTCCTATCGGAAGCAGACCCTGCAATCCAAGATCGATGCCACCAAGAAGGCCTTCCAAGACTTGTTGAATGAGATGAAGCTCATCCAGACCAAGATCGAACAAGAGCAAGCCGAGCTCAACAACACGAGCGCGGCCTACATGACCCTGGTCAGTAAGCAGCCTGACCCAGTCCATTTAGTTGAAGATGCTGAAATGAAGGATCCAGTACCAGAAGCTGTAGCTGGTTTCATCAGCACTCTTGGAGTCAGTCTCACACAAGAGCAGCAGGACCAGCTCAAGTCGATGCTCAAAAGGCCCACCTCCAACACCGAAGATGATGCCAAGCGTCGTAAGCTTGCTGAAGGTGACAAGGAACAGTCATGTGGGTAACCAGGCCAGTGACGCTTTGCAGCACGACTTGTTTTCCGCTTCTTTCAACACTTTGGGATTCAAACCATGTACGCACATGGACTGGGGTTCTGGTCAGTCAAGTTGCAGGGGATTTGACAACTTCCTTGACCACAACTACACTCTCAGTTTGGGCTCAAGCTGCACCGCCAGAGCTTCTACCTTTCCATATGGACCTTTGAGGTCCCACTCCACGGTCAAAGTCAAAGGGGGAGGCGGCCCAGTGCTGGAAACAGAGGCACCGTGTTCTTCTACCTCTGAGCCTACCCGCAAGGGTGGTGCTGTCAACGGGGCCTCAGGTTTTCAAGCATTGGCCCTCATCCTCCAGGACATGGATAGTGAACAAGAGATTCACAGCCCTGTTGATGAACAGCTCCTTCAAACTGGACATCAGGACCTCCAGGCATCATGCCAGGAGTACCTGCGTGCTCCGACTCAGGATCACGGTCAGCAACTTTTGGCTGACCTTCAACGAATGGAGAGGCTGGTGTACAAACATCAAGGCCTTCAAGATGATCCTCCTCTCATTCAGGCCAACTCAGGCCTGATCGCCCAAAACCTCACCAGCATAGCCGCCAATGATGGAAACCTATGCTTTGGTAACTCAGTCTTCAGGTGCTGGAGTCGGTTGAGCTGCTTCACCATTGAGCCTACTCGCACGTGGGGCAGACTACACCAAGCCTTCAGGGCTTTTCTCTCCTCATCTAGACCGTGCCTGTTGACACAAATCCATGAGCTCTTGGATGTATGGGCGCATTTTGAACACAAGCAGCAAGCAGATGTAGGTGCCTTTGTAGGTCACCTCTACGCCACAGCGGCTCCCCCAAGCATTGGGGGCAAGTTCTTCCACCTCAAGTCCAATGGAGTCTTGGAAGAAAGGGAGCAGGTTCCGATCAACCTCATCTGCCCCCCCGGGTGAAACCACGATTTCCCTGACCGATCTGGTCAATCAGTGGGCCAACGAAGAAGAAGGTCAATACTTGTATGGAGCCCCAGATTGCTTGATTTTCCACATTCAGAGGTTTCAATGCCTTGAGAACATCTGGACCAAGCACCACCGTCAGCTGGAGGTCCCGTTGGTCATTAGTGTGCCCTACTCCAACGATGGGATCTCTGTTTCCAATGCAGGCTACAGGGCTGTGGCTATGATCCTGCATCATGGAGAGACCCATCATAGTGGTCACTTCACCGCCATCCACGCTCTGGATAATGCCTTGTGGAGTGTTGACGACAACCAATATCCACAACCGATTGGGGGGGCTCACTTCACAACAAGAATCTGAAGTTCTCCAAGTTTGGCTTGTCCATGATCACATGCTGGATGACTCCGATGATCACTTCATTCCCGAACCGGCCCTCAAAAAGACCAAAACTCATTATGAAGATGTTTTGATGAGCTTTGCCAACGTCACTTCCTTCGGCAAGAAAGTCCAGGACTGGGTATGGTCCAAAGCTGATCACCTCCTTTTTCTCCAGGAAACACACCTGAATGACAACAAGCTGCAGGAAGTCATGCAGTACTACATCACCAGAGGGTGGAGAGCGCTGGGTGTTCCGGCCGAGGCTACTGGACGCGGAGGCAACACCGGGGGTTTCCTATGTTTGCATCCTCCTCATCATCATCTCCACAGCCTGCAACACTTTTGCAAGGAGGGCAATGGTTGGATGGCTGTGGGATATCAAAGGGAAGGCCTTCACATGGCCATCATTCAGCTCTATCTACGCACTGGAGAAACCTTACAGTCACCCTTGAACGCAGAGATCTTGAGCAACCTCTTTGGGTTTCTCGAGATCCTCAAGGCCCCCTTCATCATTGGTGGTGACTGGCAAAATCCACCAAGTGAGCTGGCTGCCATGGTCATCCAAAGCAAATTCAAAGCCCACCTTCTCGCTGCAAACGCTCCCACTACTCTGCAAGGAAGCGAGATTGACTATTTCCTCGTTTCCAACTCTCTTCACGGCTCTCTGACGCTGGACATCAATTGGGAAGTCCCGTGGAAACCTCATTGCGCCATCAATCTCAAGTACCACAGTGAGCATTTGGCCATTCCGGTCCAGCAGATTCGAGCTTTCCCGCCCATTGGAAAGGCCCTCAATCCACTTCATGGCTGGTCCGAATTCCAAGAGCCCAACGGACCCTTCTGCATCCTCAACTACCAGATCACGGGTCTCGGTACTGATCTCGCCAGATGGAGTGCCAAGTCAGAAAGCTATCTCACACAGCAGATTCAACAACCTCGAAGAGGAAGAGGGTTCCAAGTTGACTTCTATACTGGCCCTTTAGCAGGACCTCACCCTGCTCAGCTGTGGAAGAAAGGCAGACCAGCTTTTTGGGAGAAAATGTCCGTTCGAATCAATGCGCTTCGCCACAGTGATAATGAAGCTGTCAAGCAAGACCTTCTCCACATGCTTCCTAGCATCACCGAGCATGCTTCTGACGATCTGGACCAGGACAACTTCAGGGCCTCCCTTTCTCAATGGGTGGAACACACTCACCAAGATCCTCAGGGGCTACAAGATCTCATCATGGCACAGGAACATCAAGCTCACATTGGGCTTGCCTTGGCTAGCTCCGAAGAGTACAAAACCTGGCTGGCTCAAGCACATTCCAAGGGTCTACGAGGGCTCTTTCGAAGTCTTCGACAGAAAGACATCCCTTGGCAACGACCCTTTCAAGATCTACCTCTCCAAGAACGTCTTCAGACCAGGCAGAGCCAGTGGGGTGCCATTTGGATGCCGGTCGATGAACCGTGTCACATCAGGGGCTTCAGAGAGTTGAGAGAAGATGCCATTGAACAGGCACGCACTCTTCAACCCATCAACCCACTCAGCCTTCAAAGGGTGATCAAGAAACTGCCACATAAAGCGTCGGGCCCTGATGGTATCTCCTACGACTTCCTCAAGCAGCTTCCCTTTGAGGCGATAGCCCAGCTGGCAAACCTGTTCAACCAAATGGAACAAGAAGCTCTCCTCCCGACGCAAATGAGGATGGTGAACATAGTGATGATTCCAAAGAATCTCAAAGTAGAAAGGCCAATTGCCTTGACGTCATGTCTCTACAGACTTTGGAATCGGATCCGCAAGCAGGACATCGTCAAGTGGCAGCTCTCACTCGACACTACTATGCCTTGGGATCATGCGAGACCCAAAAAAGACTGTCTCTCGATAGCAGTAGGACGGATGCTTCAATCTGAGCTTTGCAAACACAACGACATTCACACTGTCACTTGCTTAGCAGACCTCAGCTGCTTCTATGACACAGTGGACCTCGACCAGTTGATCCAGCCTGCAAGGGAGCTTGAATATCCTCTTCTTCACCTGAAGATGGCCATCGACCTCTACCGCGGCCCCAGAGTCATTCAAGCCGAAGGCATCGCCACAGAGCCTCAGCACTACCGCAAAGGCATCTTGCAGGGCCGTCCTCAAGCGCCTGCAATTGCCAAGCTGGTGCTCTACAAGCCACTTCTTGCACTCCAACGTCAGCATCCTGCTGCCCTTCTTCAGACATGGGTGGACGATGTCTCCTTTGATGTCCGAGGCCGGGATCCCATCTATGTGGCTCAAGAAGCACTTCAGTCATACAGATGCCTCCATGCTGCCCTCACTGAAGCTGGTCTCAAGCTCAACACGGAGAAGACTGGATTCCTCACGAGCTCCAAAGAGACGGCCACCGCCTTGAAGGCCCTTCTACAACCTGGGGATCCTGAGCACTATGACGTCTTCCGTGACCTTGGCATCGATGCCACAGCTGCAAAGAGACGGAGGGTGCCACAGGTCAAGAAACGGTTCACCAAAGGGAGAACCAGAGTTGGCATCATGCATAGACTCAAGCTTCACACGAACGTGAGATACAGGCTACATCGAGGAGCAATCCATCCGGTGATGACCTGGGGGGCTCAGGCTAACGGGCTCGCCCCACAGCGACGGCACCAACTTCGTGCGATGGCGGCTAGAACCCTCAAACTCCAGAAATCGGGTTCAGTCGACATCGTGTTTGACATGAACAAGAAGCATCCAGACCCAGGCGACGTCATCATCCTTCAGCGTGTCCATACCATTTGGAAGTTGTACCACAGCTTTGATGACAGCAAGCGGCATCTTTTCAACTCGAGCTGGAATTTGGCCCTTGCTCCTCTCCTGAAGGCCAAATACCCCTGGCAGGTTGTCACAGGCCCTTTGCAGGCGTTGCAAGCCTATATGCTCGACCTTGGCTTCGACATTCAGAATGGACAGCAATGGCATAGAGCTGGCTACGGGTCCATTCCGGATTGCAACCTCTCTCTGGACAAGCTTTGGCCAGAACTTGCAATGTTGTTGCAACAGGAGTTCAAATGGCAACGTCTCATCCGCTTGACGAAGTATAGAGGATGTGAACACCTGGAACAGCCGTTGGATTGGACCATGAGTCTCAAGCTTCAGCGCACCACCAGTGATCGTCTTGCCTGTGCACTGAGGGCCTTCCATCAAGGCACATTGCATGGCTTCACTGGTCTATGTCCCCTTTGGTTGAACTGTCCACAGTTCACCTTGTTTGGGAATGCTCGTTTTGGCAGGGCAGGGTCAAAGACATCCCTGACGAATGGAAAGACCGCATCAGCCAGAACATTGAGCCTGAGATATGGAACAGGGGTCTTTCTCAGCTCGAGAGGGCCATGGAGGACCTTCTACCTTTGAAGGAACTGGCAAGTGGCACAGTCTGCAACCATGTCACATCGATCATGGACACCCACATGTGCGGACATTCGCCATCAACAATACATCTTTGCCATTGGGATCTTTGAGATTGCCACCAAGGAGTGCATCGCCTCCATTTCGGGCATCTGTCCAGGAGAGGCCGCCAAGACCAGAGCCACCTTCTATGCGCTCAAACAGTTGGCCATGCACCTTCTTGACTCCGCTCATGTCGGCATCTCAAACCTGCAAGTTTGGAAAGCATGGACGCCTCATGTGGCTTTGGAACGATTCCCTGATCTTTACAGTGGACTTGAGTTTGAAGACTTTGACCAAGTCAGACCACTCCTGTTTCTCTCTCACCTGCAACAGGAGGAGGGCATGAAGACAAGGAAACAGCTCCAGAAATCCATCAAGCGCATAGCTCAAGAAAGAGCGAAGGCTGAGGCTCCCAAGGACTTCCTGGCGTACCAGAAAGCCACTGACGAGGACCTTGCTGACATCCTCACAATAGTGGCAGAAAGAGTTGATCGGGTTCTCAGGGATCTGGACCACTTCTTGAGGAAGCCCACCCAGATTACTCAAGAGGTCAAAACGCCGCTGCTCCAGCAAAAGAAAGAGCTCATTGCCACCTTGCTCCGGGAGCCTGACAGAGGTGGACATCAGTGGGAGGTCCATCGCTCCGGAGCCATTTGCTGCAGATGCAAAGCCAGGATACACTCCAAAAGCATGATCCAGGAGATCAAGACCGCCATGGGGTCGGAGTGCCAAAACCCTGTCCAGGCTAAGATCATCAGAACTCCAAGAATGGAGGTGATCAAGCAGCTCATCGACAGCCAGGATAAGCCTTAGACAGGAGTGCACTTCTTGCGCTTAGACAAAGCGTACTTACGCTGCGACCTTTGCAAAAGCTACACTTTAGCAAGGTCGAATGAACAAACCTTTGAGGAGTTCGTTGGACAGGTGTGCCACAGCGGACCACTTCCGCCCTCGATGTGGGAAGGTCATGGCTCCCACACAATGCAGCGGCTTGGAAACGCCGCTGAGTGTTCACGATGTGGTGCACGAAGTCGGATCATCAACGACAAGGTCACCCTCAACCGTCGCCTCAAAGAGGCTTGCCCGACCAAGTCACAAGACTTGAGGCGGATGTTCGCATAAGCACCCAGTTGCACAGGAAAAGAACCGTGGAAAAAACAAAAAGTCCAACAACGTCAAGAACATATATGAAAATATACTTCGGAACAGCGATTTAGAAGCAAAGGGAAACTCATATCGTATGAATGGTCCTAAGGTGTTTGTATTTGTCCGAACCGTTTGTTGCAGCAGCACTCAAAAGGTTTGAGGTGTCCAAGAAGTGTGTCTTCCATACACAAGACTTTTGAATTTGCTCCATTCTGTGTCTCCAAGCCTGCTCTTCTCTGCTGGTGCATTAAAGCTTGGTCAAAGTTTGTACATGCTGGTCATGGCCCAATTTTGTCTACGGATACGATTGGATGTTGATTTGCAAAGTCAAGTGGGATAGAACAGTGAAGTTGTTTGACAGTATTGTCCAAAACCCCAGAACTGTATTGGGGGTTGGATGGGTTTGGAACAATATTTTTATTTTTATTTTTTCCAGAGCTGCTTCTTTTGGATTCGTTTCTTCTCCCCTGTCCTGGCCATCATTGAGGTTCCTAATGGTCCTAATGATTTCCTTTCTGTTTCTGTTTCCTATTGCTTCCTGTTCTGTCCTACTTCGCATCATGGCCCTCTGACCCTTTCAATCCAAATCGCCGATCAAATTTGTACCCAAATCAACATATTAATTACCAAGATCCATTCTTCAAGGGAGTAGTCCAAAATGAATTCGACAAACGGATTCCTTTTCTTGTTTCCTTTGCTGTTCAACGAAAGATATTCCTTCGGAGTTTTGATTCTGAAAGTCTGAACGTAGTTCTTAGATCAGACTGGCTGAAACTGTCTTGTAGGGACTATTCAAGATAGACCCTCCCACAATTGTTTGGTACGTTGTGTGTTGGCAAATTAAGATCTCAACATATCCAAAACAGTTATTGACTTTGTTGGGGCCACAAGAACTGCAACCTTGCTGACTTCAAAGCTTTAGACTCCTGCACTGCCTGGATCCGTGAGCTGATAGACCCAGCTACCAGCAGCATTGCCTCACCCTGCAATTGACCAAGCTTCCCAGCTTTGGGTGGAAACTGAATGCTGAGAGCCACACATCAGCTGCACCTGGTAGTCTCTCCACCACGCAGCTGTTGTAGGCGGAAGCAACCTGTCGGGTGCGTTTTCGTTCTTGTTGGTAGCATGCAAGTCGTGAAGTCTAACTGTGGACTTTTCATGCACCTGGTCCATGATGAGAGGATCTGCAAGTACCTAAGCACTGGTTCTGAGGGGCCACATGGTTCCAGACGGTTCCTTCAAGTCCGAGGGCTCAACTTCGGGAACGATGATGCGAGTATCTTTTGGTGCATTTCCAGGCATGCTGTCAGCGGTACGGAGCACCACCTTTGACGCCAGTTGAGGCGGAGCAGCACCAGTCGAGAGAAAACTTCAACACCTTTGCCATCCTCTGCCACAAGACTCGCTGGCCTGGATTCCTTCGAGCTTGCGCTCCAGGCGTCCTTAACTTTTGCTCATCTTATGTACGTTGTCCGGTGACTGCTAACAATGAAATGAGCACCCTGCCACATACCTCAATGAGCCGTTCCCCGGGTGACAACAAAGGAGTTGGCTCGTCCTCCCACAAATAGAAGACGTGACGCATGCCTGAATGTTCAACCGATTTTGACAATGCATTCAACGACTGAGTTCCAAGTCCTCCCGGATGACATGCAGAAAGGCGCCACTATTCTCCTGCATCTCGCGGATGGTGCGGCCACCTTTGCCAATCAGCCATCCTGCAAACACAGCTCACTTGCTTCAAAGGTTGCGATAGAATTCGAGAATGCGCGAGTCAGCTTCAACATATTACAATGTATATATAATAGTTAAAATTAAATCATGTCAAATCTTCTGCTCGGTCATGATAAATCAATCCAGGTGCAAACGCACCCAGCACGCTTATTTGCAGTTCACGGTTCACCACTTCTTCCAGTATGTCAGTTGACAAATCATGAAAAGACCAACGCCACTAGCTTGCAACTGACAGACGCCACATTATAATATAATAATAAAACACTATATATATATAACAATACTAATATACAATAATAACTGTATACATTCCAAAAAAAGACCTGGAGCTCTTCTTTTGACTCGTAAGTTTGGACAGCAGCTGCAGAGATGTAACCATCCTCTAAGTCATGCAAAAGAGACTCACGAGAACGCTTGGCAGGTGGTCCGTAGCCACCCCCTCCAGGTGTCTCTAGCAAAAGCACGTCTCCTGGAGACATTGGCGGACATCCGAGCTCCGTGTCTCCTTTTTCGCACTCAGAATCTCGATCTGTTCCATCTGTTCGTGCCTGTTTCCGCTTGATTTGCATGAAGAAAGGTCTGCCAGCACATCCGCCCTCTCTTCCAAGCGGACCACTGGGGTCACTTCCCTGAATCGCAGCTGCATGGGTCTTCTGTCGTGCTATGAGCTCCCATCTAACACCCAAACCTCCTCGGAAGCGCCCTGCCCCTCCTGAGTCTGTGATTAGCTCTTTGCAGTTGAACAAGAATACATCTGACATTTCTGCAATCTCCAAAGGAATGGACTGAAAGCCGCAAGGGAAGATTGTGGAGCTTAATCCATCACGATCCGACTGGGCCCCCATTCCACCACCCTCGAAATGAAGTCCCGACGCTTCACCACACGTCCAGCGCAAACTGGGTAGAAATGAGGCACTATCAGCAGACCTCAAAAACAGCCCAAAGGATGACATACAATGAAGAATCAGATCAGGCAAAAATTCAGCCACCTGTGAGGTCTTGCCAGCATTGTTGCCCTCTGGACTAGCATCTAGTATAGTGTTTGATGGAGTGCCAATGCGAAATACACTCAGTGAACCTTTGTTTACAGGAACATCCTGCCCAAGAGCCGCAATGCATGCATACTTGGAGAAGGATGTGCACATAAAAGCTGGAGATCCTCTGAAAGGTTCAGAATCAGAGCTATCTACTGGACAATCGACAAGCAATTTCACGTCCAAGCAAGTATCATCGACCTGGACCTGGGCACCAAGCTCAACTCTATGAATGGTATTTGTAGGTATTTCTTGAATTCTGATGGACCTCTTCTGTTCCGCAACAACACCTGGCGGAATTCGTCGCAGATTCCTTTGCACCGCCTGTCGCGACTCAGAGCAAATGTAAGTACCCAAGTTGGACAAGGTTACTCCACGCTCAGCCAATAATGCCGTTAGTCGTTGATGGCCCAGTTCATTGGCGGCAACAAGTGCAACCACATCTTTTGCACTTGTTCCAAGTTTGCACGCATTTTCCCTCTTGATGACACATGATGAAACCAGTGCCTGTCCTGTGTGAGCAGCAGATGCAATGAGACCCGAAGGTCTTGAAAAGACCGGAGGCTCAAAGACTGGAGTCACAACCACCAGGTCAGAATGGTTCGGCATTGAACCTGGATTGATTCGAACTATGCATTCATCGGGCGACAACCTTTGCAGAGCTCCTTCACGCACACACATGTCGATGTTGTGGAGCAGGACGGCTGCCAGGCTTGGGGAAGACATCTCGCTTTGTGCAATGAGGTCTTCACCATTGAAGACAGCACAAAGAACGGCTCGAGATTCTCTGAGAAGTGGAGCAAATGCTGCCTTCAATACAGCTTGCGCCTGCTCCTCAACGATGGTCAAAAGCCTTGTCCAGGCTAAACGATGTGCCATGTGTGACATGGTGTCCCTCTGGCCTTGCTCCCATCCTTCCTTGCTAAAGCCGAGCAACTTCTGAGGACGCAAACTTGCATGATGCTGGATATTCTCTCGTTTTGCATCACGTGCTTGAAGCTGTAAGAAACCATTTTCTAAAAGCCAGCAGTCAAAGGATTCGGACACGATCGTTGTCGTATATGCTTCAGTAATGACAGCAGGGCCGTGAACGAGCTCTCCAACCTGCAGACCAGAACGTGAATACACGAGGTATTCAACTTCTTGGCCATCATAAATCAACCTCTTGCCATAGGCCTGTGCCGAACTACCTTCTCTAGATGGAAAATGCAGTATTGACTTGCTGGACAAATTCTGCTTGGTTCGAAGACGCTCCTGCGGCCATGCCAATGGATCTGCATCTGCAACAACCTCCAAGGCAAAAGCTCGAAACTCGGCCTCTTCCTCAAGTACAATATGGCCCAGTTGGGTGTACACCAACTCAAATTCTGTGAGCAAGGCCTTTGTATCTTCCGGTTCCAAGTCCCGATTTGGCAAATCAACACAAACTTCGTGGCCTTGCCCAACATACCGCATGTATGCACGGCGTCGCTCTTTCGGTGGACGGCCGGGCTTCCAACGAGCTGCCCCGGCAGCAACTACTGCAACCGTCTTATGCCAAAGTTGTCGAAAAATCGCATTGATTTTTTCATGATTGAAATCTGTCAACTTCATTCTACAGCTTTCCAAGGCCTCAAAGGCCAAGGGAGCAGAAAAAAATCCCATGGCACTACCAACACTTGCATCAGGAGGAACCAACACCGTCTCTATTCCAAGTCTTTCAGCCAGGTAAGTAGCTCGTAAGGGGGCTGCACCACCGAATGCGACCAGGACATGCTTTGGCAAATCCAAGCCATGCTCCGCAGCATGTGCTTGAGCTGCTATAGCCAATGAATCTTCGACAGCTTCGGCTATCGAATGTGCAGCCACTTCGGTCGAGACCTCCAGCTGCTCTGCAATTTTCCCCACAGCAGCTTTAGCTTTGCTCAGGTCAAGATCCACTTCGCCACGAGCAAGAGACCCCGCTTCAAGACGGCCCAGAATTAAATCGGCATCAGTCACCTAAGTGAAGTGATGTGAAGTGCCCAGGTCCAAAGAGGTAGATAGACATTGGATGTCTGAACTTTTGAACAACTTGAACATACAGAAAAGAACACTGAAATCCTGTGCAAACAAGCCTGAACCATGTGCAAGTAGTCGTGTTCTGCAAACTTTGAAGTACTGAACAACGCCTGAAAATCCCAAGCAACACAATCCAGACATTATTTCAACTTCAGCTCTGTTGCCAGAATATCACCTTCATTCTTCATTGTGAGGCAAATTACAGAAGCTGTCAGAGTATGGTTGTTCAGTGGAATCAACCCAACAATTGTAGTTGAGGGGTTCTGTTGAGAGGACCGCGCACAGGCACAGCCTATTCCCAGCACTCTGAGTCATCCTTTTCGCATTGCCCATCAAGGTTAAGAGCATCAAATTTCAGCCCCCCAAACAGTTGAAAACACAACTTGAAGTGGTGTGTTCTAGCATGGTTTCGGTCTTTTGTTGGCTTGGCTGTGCAAAGTCAGAGACAATGGGGCGCGCGACCTGACCTAGAGCCCAACCATGCCCAACCCCTCACCCAAACCTACGACGACGACGACGACGACGAAGAGGTGTTTACATAGCTGCCTATCCCGACGAATCTCGGTGATAGTCTCTCAAGGCACAAGCGCTTGCAGCCCACCTTCCATCTTCCAAGGTAGGGAAACAACTCGTGGTCAGGACTTAAGCCATGGCACATGGCGGCCCACAGGGAATCATGCATGAAATTCCAAGGTGACATGATTGCACTAGTAAGAGGGGAAAAACCAAATGGACAACAGGCAGGAGTGGGTGCATCTGTTCCGTTCACTAGCCATACCATCAGGAGTACAAGTGTCTAGGCCTATTCAGTCTAACCTAGGACAGTCAAGGTAGGTGATACCAGCGGGTGAAACGCGACCGTGTTCTATTGGTCGTTCTGGCCGCGTCCGCGGCCCCGCCCTCGACCCTTTCCGTCTTTGCCTTGACCCTCACCTTTGTTTCCTTTTCCTCATTTGCGTTCCAATTCCTCGGGGGTTTTGCTCACGAAAAGATTCGCGATCTCGGTGTGTCCGGCCTCTCGACGTGTTTTGACCAGTCGATTGATAAACTGTCCAAGAGAACCCTGCAAACAATTTTGGATGCGAAGTGCGTTTTCTCCGAAGGTCAGGCGAGCAACGAAATGTTTGGGTGTCCTATTCCACTGTCCCGTGTGGGGGTCCCTGGTGTTCCGTGACCGATTCGGGAAAATGAATCGCACAGCCGTTTCTAGCGTCCCTACCAATAGCCACCAATTGCCAATGACGTCCAGCGGTATGGTCTTGGTCTCTTCATTTAATTGGCGCCAGTCCGCCGGCAATTGATGGGGCAGGGGGAACGGAAGTTTGGTGAGTTCACTCAATTCCTGCAGGATAGCCTTGCTGGCGTCTTTTGCTAATGTGCTGAATTGGCGAGACTGCGTCGCAGTCGCATACAATGTCTCAACTTGACTGCTATGCTCGATGACTAGAAGCGTAGCTTTCTCGATCCTGTCCTGTCTGCGTTTCAACGATGTGATTTCTGTTCCTTGCTTCTCTTGTTCCTTTTCAATGGCGTCGATGCGGCGCTCTAAACTCTGTATTTTTCGGGTTCTCTCTGCCGCCGCCATTTCGGCGGGTGGGGTCACCACGACTGTGGTCTGTGCTGTCAGCCAAAGTATGCGGAAACATGGAGATGATCTCTGTTGAAGTGGGCGTTGCCCAAAAAAGGGTAACCAGGAAGAAACCGAGAGAAACAGGGGAGGACGAATGAGGCCCTGATGTCTGATTTGAGATCACGTCTTGCCTAGGACATGCCCAGGCGCGCCCCCCCCGAGCGTGTGAACGGAACTTGTTCCGAACACTACTACCGGGTCGTGCCCGGGATGCTGGGGGGCGGGTGCTTGAAGGAGAAACAAAAAATGGAAGCCTAAACCGGAAGTGCCTCAAACGCGGCAGCGAACTTCGTGGTTTTTTCGAGCTTGTACGGAACCTAGAAGGTTGTTACATGTTTGGCAGCGACGATGCTAACCTGCGAGAGCTGCGTTTGCGGAACCATGTCTTCCGTTTCATCCCTGTCGACAAATACCGATCAAGTGGAAAGTCCTTGAACCTAAAAAACACATGTTGTGTGGTAGGATGGAGCCGCTGGGGTGTCACTGACGCGTGAGTCAGTCGCCAAACCAATGTGTATGGATCCAGATTCTTCGCCCGACCGCCCACCCTTCCAACGGTCCGGCGCGGTGGCCCCGTGTCGCCGGGCGGGGACTTTCAGGGAAAACCATCCAGCCCCCAACACCCTTAGACACACGACAGGACTCAGGTGCATGATCCGGTTCGGAAATCTCGCTGGGGCGCACCGCAAAAGCGGGAGTCCCCGTCCTCCTAGATTGATCCTCCTTCCTGTGTTCCTCTATCTATGAGGACGCCACCTTGGGCGTGGGGTTGGTGGAGCCTGGATGTAGAAGCTGAGTATTGCTTGTGTGCAGCAATCAATTTTGCCGCATCCGGGTCGTTGCTTCAGCTGGCTACGTGAAACCCTACTTGCAGCCTAGCCCCTCCGCTGGCCACCGCGAGGAGGTGTCTCCCGTAGGCCAGCTCACCCAAACCTACCCTGAGTATCCCAGAGTCATGTTCACAATGGGAAGTGGTATAACAAGACCTATAGCAACTGAGAGACATTTTAAGATACTGCAGGGAATCATTTGCACAAGTTCAGTGCATACAATGCAGCAATTTGACTCGTTTCAACAGCAGAAAAAACAAAGAACAACTATGAAAAGCGAGCGGCCCCGCTTGAACAGGGACTTACTGTACGATCTGTTTGTCCACATCTTTTTCCTTCTGGTACTTTACAGTAAATGTTTTGGATGGGATTTGGCCAATCCTACAATGAAGCCATGGCGCCGTTGGCAGCGTACCACCACGACCATAGCATGCAGGTCCAGGAGTGGACTTGGCCGATTGAGGCCCAACTCGTGGATTCCCAACTGCGTCGACAGATGCGAGGCTTCCACCACCTCCACTGATCTCCACCAAATCTATGCAAGGAATTTGGAGAGGCAAGCCGGAATGCTTCATGAAGTTTTCGGCACGATCCACTTCAAAGTTACGAGTGATTCCTGCTCGACCCCTGGACACCATACAAAGTTTGGCTGTAGTGCCTCCCATGTCCAGGGATATCACATTGCTTGCCTTGGCTTCTCTAGCAACGTTCTCTGCCAAGATAGCACCACCAGCAGGACCAGATTCAATTAGACGAACAGGGAACATAGAAGCGGTGTCAGCGTCCATCAGTCCACCTTTCAAAGTTTTCAACATGCATGCAAAGTGTGGCACCTGGTAGATGAAACGAATCTAAAACATGCTTTTCTAGAAGCAGCTTCAAAACAAATGTCGACAACTTGCCACCTCCGGAAGTCATCAAGAGCAAGGGACAGGTGAATCCATGCTCGACCAAGGACCGCTGGGCATCTTTTAAATAACGCGACATCAACGGTTGGACGTAGGCATTGGCAGCTGCAGTACTAAAGCGTTCAAACTCTCGAATCTCTGGACTCACGCTGCTTGATGTACAAAACCACACACCTGGAAGCAAGGGTCTCAGCACTGCCATGGCCCTCTCTTCGTGCATATCATTTGCATAGCTGTGCAAGAAACATATCGCGATGCTTTCCACTCCGTGCTCTTTCAGCTTTGGAACAAGGCCTTCTAACTCAGCCTCATCCAAGGGTGTTAACTCAGTCCCATCCGGCAAATGGCGCTGAGTCACTTCAAAACAAAGGTGCCTGGCAATAAGAGGAGGACTTTTTCTGGCTTTCAGATTGTACCTATCATGCCTTCCTCCGAATCCGATGGTCAAAAGGTCTCGAAAGCCTTTGGTCGTGATCAGAGCGGATTTCGCTCCTTGTCTCTCAAGTACAGCATTTGTTGCAAGAGTTGTTCCATGCAGTATTAGTCTAACCTGCTTTGGGTCTCGCCCTCCAGCTTGCAAAGCCCTTAATGCTGCATCAACCAATCCTTTTGCTGGATCTTGTGCAGTTGTGAGGACTTTCACCGGATATCTTTGGCACGTCTCCTCGCCATCCTCCAGAACAGCATCGGTAAATGTTCCACCTGGCAGGGATATGTCCATCCGAATGTTGGACTCAGTGAGTTAGATAGTGCGAAGAGAGCATCGAATGCATTTGCAAAGGCTCTCACTGATACCCATTCTATACTATACCAACCACCAGCACCACTAGCACCAACATCAGCCACAAGAAGGACAACCACAAGGAGATGACAAATGATGAGGAAAAGCAACAAGAAAGAGCCACCACGACTGTTACCAAATGGCCCCATATTCGAACACACTACTGTACGGTGAAGGTGACAAATACTCACCACAACTCTTATAGTATCGCCCTGAACTACAGTAATATCTAAAATCATATAAATCTGGCATCGCTACTAGGAGCACGCTACTAGGGGCTCCTGACATCACTACTAGGAGCAAGGACGCTACTAGGGGCTCCTGGCTGCATCAGGAACAATGTTTGCTAATAGCGTCCATGTTACTAGTAGCTTCTTGTTCCTAGTAGTAAGCACAATCACGGCGAGTCAGGGCAAGTGCAATCGCACGTGCAATCGCACCCCATGAATAGCACCAACAGCCCGTCCATCAACATAGCAATCACAGGAGCATCTGCCACAACTGCTGATGGGTAACAAAGAGGATATGAACAACAACTTTATCGCTTTTGATCTTTAAAGGAGGCCTATGCTTTTGGCGGTTGCTCGCTCACATGAAAGCACAATAATAACTGCAATAGTCTGCAATACGATAACTAATAATCAACAAACAATTCAAAAACATTCAAGACGACTGTTCAAAACACATGTGTCCTTCAAGTAGTCAACATCGAAACTAATCCAAATGACCCAGACACATCCCACCAATTCTTTGGTTCGGCCTATGTCAATAGCCAAATGGCAGTTCAAGCGACCATCCCAATGAGCAACTGCCAGCGCACTGCTGGCAGCTTGTGGTGCCCCTGCCGGTTCAGGCTCGGGAATGACATTCTTCAGCAATGGCGTTCGGTAGACCCCATCAGCCTTTTTGATCTCGATACCGCTCGCATTCATGCATGTCGAAGCTACTCTCAGTGCTTCAAGATTGCAACTACAGCTTGATCACTTTCAGCTGCACCATGCAAAGATGCACAGGGTTCACAAACCTTTCACAAGTTGAACAATCCTTTCACAAACGCTTCTCACCTGCCAGGCCAGTGTCAACGACAATCTTGGCCTGAGGACATATTCTGATCATCTACTCATTGATATAACTTATCTTTTATATAAACAAAATATATATTTAGTTTCTAGTTTCTAGTAGTTTCATATCATTTACTGCTCATCCATTGGCTTCATTCAAAGGATACATCGACTTTGCAACAGCTTAAGGCCTTTGTTCTAAAGTTCTGCGTGGGGTCCATGCCATAGAAGAGGTCATGATCTGCTGGCCTTGGATGTGTCTTGGCTCCCCGCTTCACCCGCTTCACGAAGCGACAGAAATCTGCCGTGGATCGATTGCCGCCCAGATGCGGCAAGTGCACCTCCGGCAGATGTGCACCTGCTCCGGCAGCCAGTTGGGCTGCTGCCTCCCAACGAGGTCGACATCAGATGTTTCTTGCTTCAAGCAACTTGGCAAACATGTTCTTTGCAAAGCAACATTTACTTGTTCGAAGGACAGTAAGGACATCTATATACACAGAGCTTTCTGTAGAACTCACCTTGTCTGGACGATACTTGAAATCTGCAGGAAGGAGCCTTCCACGGTCTGCCATGTCCTTGAAAAGATCCCAGACTGCGCTTTGCACTCCAGCTCTAAGCAGAAAATAGCTCCATGAAAAATGGCGTCGTCCTGGATTACTTTGTGGATGTTGGCAACTGCAGTGGTAACCTGCCAATGATGCCCCGCTAATTATATACAGTACTCTGTAACATGTTCGACAAGGTACAACCGGTTGTGTGCATCTGCTACAGTGTCAGCCTGGGAAGCCGTGCCCTCCAAGCCTGCACAATCCATCAGTAGACTCAGCACATTTTGAGCATTGCTCCGAAAGGAATATAATCCACCAAGAAGTACCAACGCGGTGCCTATTGGAGTGTCCGGCATCCCCATCACCTCACAACATATGGGGACCGGCAACCACTGTTGCTGTTACAGATCATTTGTGTGAAATTGATTATCAAGCCAAATTGACTTGTTGCAAACCTGAGTGATCAACATTTTCCTTACCAATGCTGACCTCAACTCCCGTCCCTGCAAGCACCTCCAATGCATAAAGCATTCCACGCACAAAGATCGAATGAGTCTCAACGAGGAAAAACCACGGCAGCGACCTCCGCAATCGTTGCACCTTTGATCCCAACCTTGGGCCATCGATTGACTGGACATCGCGTGAGGGCTGTGAAAGAACACATCTGTTGAGCATATGGCAATCACTGGAATGGCCGTTGCGGGAACGATGATGACAAAGAAGCCCACTTCGCTGTCCAAAAGATCCTGAGGTCGTAGCTTTGACTCCACGGCAACAAAGCAAACAAACAAGACAAGGATGTACAAGGCCTGCAGCTTGCGTAGCTTCTCCACCTTGCATCAACAAAATTGAAATAGACTAGACATGATTAGGCTAGCGGCTAGCGACTATCTCCTCTCTTGAATACCTCAACAGTGAAGGCTTGGGACCAGGCGATCCCCAAACAGGCACCTTCTTTCTGATTCGCCTGCCACTTGCACTGCAAATAAATAACCAAACAACGTCTGCAATACAAATTCCACAGGTGCCAAGCATTTATATATTCCATTTATTTCGGTTTTATTCCGCTTCGCGATACTTCTCGCCTGTCCGCTGATGGTAATGATTCGGTCACTGAGTCGTTTTGGCGTGTCGCGATCACCAGAGACATCAATCATGGCACCAGTCTTGTTTGACCTGGAGTCGGTGGAGTTCAGCTGAAACATGCTGTCCTTTCTTGCTGGGCCCTTCACGGGCACACTTTGCATGCTACTGGATTTTGTGGAGACAAAATGAGATAAATTGATACTGATTGAACATGCTTGATCTGAGGAAAAGGCAAATCCGTGAGGATCTCATGATTGTTGTAGGTGACAAAGTCAACCGCCTTTCCACGGAACACGGCTCTTGCTTCAGAAAGGAATCGAGGGTCCACCGGTACCTCATGAGGGAGGAGACATCGCCATGGCACGGGAAAGTTCATGGCTCTTCCCCTTCGTACAGGGGGTGCATTTTTTGCATCATGTCCAAAGACTGCTGCTGTAGGTGTCAAAAGCTGTCACTGTGCGCATGCGCCTTGTACAAACTCAATATGCAAACCTACCCTGGAACCTTTGGTACAAGTTTGCTTCCATTCAATGTGAACATTTGCCAGGGCAATTAGCTTTCTCCATTGGAACAATTAGCAAGTCTTCGCAGCCGTGCCATGCACTTGCCCTTGTTCATTTCATCAATGCATCTATCGATCTGTAAGCTGCATGCTGCATAAGTATCCACTGTAGCACATGTGTCAAAGAATCAGGTTGAAACTGGCTTTGTACGGACGGAAACAAGAACGACACACAAAACTATAGCGACTATAGCAAACCAAAAAAATGAAGACAATTGTGAGAGACTCTACGCCTGACCATCCATCACCGCAACCTGAATTGAAGAGTGGAGCAACTCCGTTTCATTTCAAATGCATCGATGTCCCATCACCTCCTCCCACGCGCAATCAATTTCTGGAACCACGATGAAGTCGTCCAGCTCCTGCAACAGTTTTGAATCGGAGATAGCTTTTCTGGAAATGGTATTGACAACCTAGTCACATGCACCGACATCATGATCCATCTAATCTAGCTTTCCAAATTGAGCTTTGCCGAAGTGCTCAATCAATAGATTCCTACGCCGTAAGAGGATCCTTACACTGCTCTTACGTTTTTCTGACACACTCTGCAGTTTTTCTTACATGGCATGTGGGGAAACTACATGCTTATACCACCCTTGCGCAGCTGGATTTTGCACTTTTGTGAACCTGCGAGGAATATGCGTGCACTTGTTTTGCTACAACAACGAACAGGTAGAAAGGACGAGCTTGACTTAGCATTCCACTAGGCCAGGCAGGAACGATTGACACTTGCGAAAATGCTGTTGCAAAAGCTCATTTACATCAGCAAGGGACAGGACTCGACAGCGAGATTTGACGACATGAGACTTATGCGCTGCACTGCCTACAGTATATGGAACTTGCTGGAGAGATTCCAATGCAACTCACAACCAGCAAAGATACGATGAGGTGACGAGGTGCCTCTTCAATCGCAGCAAATGCTGGATGCACCTTCCGTGCTCTTCAAATAGGCACCGCAACCCAACCAAGGCAGCAAAAATAAAGAATCGGCCCACCTCCACCCAGGCAGCTGATGAATCAAGGTCCAAGTCTTTGTCCTGCAACTTTCTCTGGTCACAATTATATAAAGAGAAGAAACATGGAAGGGGTCCCAGACCTGTTTTGCACTTTCTTTACATCATTCTCTCATCCAGTCTCATCTGATCTGTCTAACCCAGCTCCTCATCTGAAAGTGTTTGCTCGGATTGCTCTTCGTCACAGTCATCCTTCTCCTGATCCTCGTGCTCCTTCGCCACGTCCTTCAAGCTCTATTGCTGGCTCATTCCAATGTTGTTCAATGACTTGAAGCTGGCAATCCTCCGGTTCCGGCTCAACATGCCTCAAAAACACCACAAGGTTTTTCTAACCCAAAGGAATCACATGTCTTATGTCTGGTCCAGTCCTGAGGCCTAAGCATATATTATATGACAACAAGAGCAGCAAATCCGCGCTGCTCTCTCTGCACAACATCCACCATCTTAGAGCTTGGCCCTGGCTGTTCCATCGAGCACGCCTGACAAACCACGGCTCAGCCAAATTCCTCGTTTAGATGTACATAATTATTATCAGCAAAATCACTTGTCCTGCTTCCCTTGCAAGTTGATCAGTTGCAAGTCCCACAAGCTGAACCGTCTCAGGCTTGCTTGCTGTCCAAGCACACATTGCCTTTGACAATAGGGACAATAGGAGCATCGCTTCCTTGAACGTCCCGTATCATTTTCCGCAAACACCCCAAATCATGGTCCTGTATAAAAGGCCATTGGCGATAATTTTGCAAGCGACTCATATTTAATATCATAAATGAACACAAACAAACAGAAACATTGCAACTTCTGAACGGAGGGTGCATTGTCGCAGCTTTGGACCTCAAGGCCTACGGCTGGAAGCAGTTTGGCATTCTTGCTTTCAGCTAAACGTTCAGCTGAACAATGCAATGAAATGAGTCAACACCAACTCGAGTAGTATTAGTTTACTTGATGCTGGTGATGCGCAATCCACTCAATACATCATCAGCATCATAAAAACGCATAGCTAAGTAGGAAGGGTGGGGAATGCGAGAGGCCGCTGTTGCTCTCGCAACTCAATTTGCTACTCTTGCAAGTGCCGTTGTCCGTGACATTGGGGCAAGTCTTTCACGCTTGCAACAAAAAAAGAAACATCTTTTTCAGATTAGCCGGACGGCCCTCGACATCTAAGGTGGCATGGAGCAAGGCCACAGCAGTTGGGCAAACAGAAAAATGTTTATGCCATATGCTAAAAAGAACATTGAGAAGAAATGGACTGAGGCAAACTGAAACAACTGTCATTACCTCATCGGACGGAAAGGCAAGTGCAAGAAAAGAGAGGATGTTGTGACATCGCTTGAACGCAATGAAGTCGAACCTGCAGGATCTGATCTGGATCCTTGTTCTTGGTATCAGTCATCTCAGTCTGCTTCACCTCCCACCTGCACTTTGACATAATATCATGACGCATCATGTAAAATGAGTGTTACATTCTTGTGGCAACAAGGCCATTGCAAGCCAAGGGTGTGATTGGGTCGGGTGACTATTAGTTTCAAAACAACACTGATATTTACATGACCAGCCTCTCCTTTCGGATCCTGCATTCCTGGGCAACCCAAATCTAACATGGCAAAAAGTACCCCATGGAGCAGCAAACATGCACATGGTCTGCCATATCTGAGGCTAACTTGTCACCAATCGTTCTGGAGTCCTCTTCCACCAAAGTAGACGCCAGCTCTTCGGCAATCTTTGCACCTGATCAGGTTCAAAGCATGCCCGATTACTTCATGTTGTTCTTCTCAGTAGTCTTTGATTGTACATCTTGCTTTCAGTATCACTCAATGGCTTTGCATCAGCGAATTGAAGGCCTACACCGACACCTCTGTTTCCATGCTTTCCTCGATACACATAGCGGCGCTCCTGCGTGCAAATGTGAGCTCCCTATGCTCACTTCAATACGCTCTCAAAAGGGATAACATGCAGAAGGCTGAAGGCATCTGCAGGACACAAAATATCCTCCACCTTTGCTCTTAAAGGCACATTTTCGACTCAGCTGTGCCTGGTTGATTCCTTTGGCACGCTCCAAAGGCTTTGCTCGCCTTGGACATGCAGCTTCCGTGTGACTTTCAATCGTCTCTTTCCATGGGCCCGAAAGGCATTAATCAAGGGGTCAAGACTGAAGTGTTATTCAAAGTCATTCTCCAAGAATTGGACACAGGCAAGTATACCAGCGATTTGTTTCGCTCGAAGAGAGGACCAACCTGTGCTTCATCTGTCTCCACAGCCATTCGTCAAATATCACAGCAGTATTTGTTTGCTTTGAGATGTTGCTTGCCTCAAACCCACATGCCTGCAGCCACCTGAAACGTCCCCCAATGAAGGCAAAAGCTATATATATATATTTATATTCAAGCAAATATATGTAGAACGGAATCATAATGGATTGTGCTGTAAGGATCACACTTTTTGAAGCTGCCGTCATTCTTCTTGTCAGCCACAAAAGGCGTTTCTTCGTGGTTCCTCACCACCTCACAAAGTCGTCAAACCGTTTGATCTTGTCCAGGCAAAGAATTGTGCAGTCCTGGTTGAAGACATGTGCAAACTTTGAGGACAAGTTGTTGACCTGAATGCCCACATGATTTGAAGCGCTCCCAACCAAATCAGGCCTTTCCTCCTCAGCTCTAAAGAAAGAAGCGACCTTCACGCATTACCAGCTAAGGCTCTCTCCTCAAGCGGCTTAAAGGACAGCATATCGCAAATCCGCTTCACCAAATCCGCCTGAACCATTGACCATTGAATCATCGATGCACGCGCAGTGGCTACTCGGCACTTGGCCAAGCCTCACCAGGTACTCCATAAACTGCCATGGGAGGCCTGCATGTTCTGAGACACGCGTTGATTTAGTGCGTGGACAGTTGGAAACGATAGCAAGAGAGATGGCGAGCAGTTCGCAGCCTGTGCAGTCTTTTCTCAGCTTCCTAAGACATGTCAAGTGCAGCAGCAGCAAGTTGCTACTCACACCCTCTCCGATCTCGATCACCGTGTAGGGGGCCTTCAAAGAAGAACTTTATAAGTGAAACATGTCCACGTTGATCGTGTTAACCACTTTCTTGGACTCATGTGCTATGTGCTGTGATGAATTTCTTGCTGCATCGTTGCTCTGGGCCTTACAAGACGTAGCTCCTCCACCAGGCCCTGCAAAAACGCGATCGTTTGAACGTTCATTGATGATCATTGTGCATCATAGGACTTCTCACCTGCACGTTACTGTGCACTTCATGCTCCACAGCACCGTGAAATGACCTGCAAATCAGTGTGTACATAAAACTACACGACAAGATTTCAACATGTTTTTTGGGGTATATATCCGAATGATGACTTGCCATAGTTTGCAATTTGCTAAAGGGCTCAGTGGCCGCCTTCCAGTGAATTTGCTGCAGCTCTTCAGGTTCACATTGCCGATAAAGGCATCCTTCAATATGCAACCTGATTCAAGAGCTGAGTAGACATAACTTGCCAAGTCTATAAGCGGCATGTGGTGCATCTTCTACAACATGGAGCGTTCTTGCCATGAAATAATAGACAATACATGACAATACACATCAAAACGACCCTCATTTCCTAACTCGGCCCAGTCTAAGTCCATGGACTCACAGTGGCCCGTGCGAGTTCAATTGGCAGGTCTCGAAGATCTACAGAATCCTCCAAGGCATGAAGACAAAGTGTTTCACTTGTCGAAGACAAGTTGTCTGTCTTCACAGTTGTCTATTTTATTCGTATAAAACATAATGAAGCAATATTTAAGAACAATAATCCTAAAAGGAAGGCAAGGCCCCTTTTCATCTCTTTTCTTCTGTGATTTTCCGAGGTGGCGATATCTGCGGCGCCTGCCTCTGCCACAAATCCTCCTGTCGAATGATTGAAAGGCTTCTGGCTTAGCTGCGGCCGGATTTGTAGATGCACATGCTGAATGCCAGCACCTACCTCTTGGTCGAACGAAGCCTCTAAGGTACCTCCAAGAAACAGTAGGTGAGCAGCGCACCATGAATTGTCAGGACAGATTCTGCAAGTATCTTTTAAATTATTTGAATACATGTTCGCACGCCTTGGACCCAGTAAGTACCCTGGCCTAGTGACCTAATTACAGCACTGCTCGAAACTCCTCACATGTCCTACACCAAGAGATGTGAAGGCTGAGGAATTAGCTCTACTGTACGTCAACACACCGTAACACACTAATATAATATACTGTATACAATACTAAACGGGAGGGGTCGGGCACGCAAGGAGTCTTCAAGGGCGCACCCTGTCAGCTCCAACTCACTCTCTCTTTGCTGGACCTGAGCAGCTCACGCAAAAAGCAGGGGCTCCTGGCATCGCTACTAGGAGCACGCTACTAGGGGCTCTTGGCCTTACTGCTAGGAGCAAGGACGCTACTGGTAGCGATGCCTTTTGCTACTAGTAGCTTCTTGCTCCTAGCAGTAAGGCCAGGAGCCCCTAGTGGCGTGCTCCTAGTAGCGATGCCAGGAGCCCCTAGTAGCGTCCTTGCTAATCACAAAACTCACTGAATGAGTGAGTGGTCCATGCAGTCTGAGGATTTTGCGAGCAAAGCCTCTGTGAGTTGCCCATGTTGGCCTTGGATGGTCTTCCAGCTCCGCTAAAAGTCTGTGATCGCATTTCAGTTCTGATTTCATTGAACTGTATTGGGAGTTCCTTCCCATCAAATGGATGCCATTTGCATCCATTTGCCTCCATTTGCCATACGAAAAAAGGAGGAAGAAGAAGGATGAAACAGGCATTGGATCTGATACAATTCAATCAGGGCGGTTCGAGATCTGTGCCACCACCAAGTCGCTTCGTACATACTTGAGCATCCCGCCACTTGGTCGACCAAAGAAGGCAGTCAATGCGGCACCAGTCATTGCCTCGACGCATGCTACTGCTATCGCATGCAATGATTGTGCCCACCGAGGGCGCGACTGAGTCCGGAAGCACGTTCCAAAAAGCAATCACCTGCAAGCGCATGCATAAATTCTTGTTACTAGTAGCGATGGCCTCCACCCTACTTGTGATGGCCTCCACCTAATAGCGTCCTTGTTACGAACGAAGGAAGGAGCAAAACATCGGTGCCAAACTGAGGTGAGTTACGCATGCACTCTCTTGTGTATTCAACCCGTTGGCAATCGCACTGACTCACGAGCTGGCTCTTTTGGTTCCGCGGTCTTACGACTGCTCATCAAGCTCATTCAGGTCCTCTCTCTTCCGCTTTGCAGGATTGCCTGCACTGCACCATGATCTCGGCGATCCAAGGAGTTTGTAGTACATTGGACGGACGTTACACACCTAGTACTTTTGGAGTCCTAGTCCTGCGGAAGCGCGACAAGAGCTTGTTTGTTCACCTGAAACATCTCCAAGACAACCCCCTGGCCTATCTGGCCTGCATTTCTGGAACCAGAAGCAGCAGGAGACTCCTGCATGTCACAACATGTCACACCGGATTTCTTCAGTGCAAGATGATCTCAGCAGCACCATTCCATGCAAAACCATTCACACCTCCCGGATTTCCTTCACATCCTCCAAGCTGAGACCTGGCGACGTCTGAGTCCGGTCTGCGCGTCTGAGTCGTCCACCAGCCTGGATCCGGCAGCATTTTGAAGGCAGGGGTTGTCCACTCCTGGCATCGCTTGTTCGGTGTTCGGGACAAAAATGCAGGTTGAGGGATGTGCTTCACTAGGCAAATCAGATTATATAGATATGTAAGAAGGGCTTCTGTGTCCTTTAGAACAAAAGAAAGCAAGCTGCTGATGCGCCTGTCCAAAGATTCCACCCCACCGATTTGGCACAATACCTGTCTTAGTCTTCACAGGTGCACAGCTGTCAAATGTCTTTCACTTGTTTCAGGTGGAAGAATGGGTTGAAAGACAAGCACACGAGCAATGCTGATCTCACGGTGAGTCTCACCTGCAGCAGCCAATGCACAAGCCATGGTCACCAAAGCTGCCCGCGCATAGACGTCTTTGGCCAGCGCGTTCATGGCACGAGGGAATGTGTACCTGAAAAAGAGCCGCTTAAAATGTCTTCTAGTAGTAACAAGAAGCTATTAGAAACAAGTGCCACACTAGTAGTAACAAGTGCCACGCACTAGTAGCACATCGTCTTCTCGATGCACAGGATTTGCCGATATTTTGGTCCATGATGGTCCATCTCTGTGTAGCTTGTTCCTAGTAGCGATGCCAGGAGCCCTAGTAGCGTCCTTGCTCCTAGTAGTACGGCCAGGAGCCCCTAGTAGCTTCTTGTTCCGTGTGTGTGGCTTATCAGCCGGTCTTTTGACATCTTGTCTTGCCAAGTTGCCAGTCATAGATGTCCTCTGGATCTTCCACGTCAGGCACAAAGCCAGCTGGTGGTGGATTGACAGCATACAGGGCATAGAGAAAAATGGGCATGCCAGGGACTGCCACGGTCACTGGGGCCAAATCTTCCAAGACTTGAACTTCACTCGCTTCGATGTCACACAGTTCAGACACAATTCTCAACGCCGCGGCTCCACTTCCCTCTCCAACATCTGCTGCACCCCATGGTAGTCGCATACCTTCCCACTCACCCGAGAGCGATCGGATGAGGACACAATGATTTCCGCGCAGAATCAAGCCACCAACAAGCTTGTCGCCCTTTGGAAGATCTGAATCTTCACAGCAGTCTTCCTCAGCATGTCCATGCCCATCCTGGCCTTCAGGAATGGCATGAGCAAAAATGCTTCTGCAATGTGTTGAGTATACAGTAATTTATACAGTAAGTATGTCAATAATCTAAATCCTCTGTCAGAATAATATTGGCAGCAAGTGTAGGCCTACATATGAGACATTCGGTCCATTTTCAGGGACGAATGCAAGTCCTCCTAGAAGTCCTCCTAGGGGCTGCTCCTCATGTAAAACCCATACCAAGGACATTGCTGCACTCTTCTTGAGATACGCCTCAATGAGGGTTTGATTCTTTTTCAGACTCCTGCCTGTTTCAGCCGTGGTCTGTTCATGGCCATCGCTCATAAGCTAAACTCCAGGGTTGCTTTGAACCCAGGCTGCCTGGGCTTGAGCCCAACACTAGATTGAAAGCACTCCAAACCCAACTGGAAAGGCAAATGGGCTTGACAAGTTCCGTATTCTTTACCATCGTGAGTGATCATCTAAAACATGTCTCCCAAACTCTCGCAACACTTCCAAAGTGACTTGGAACGAATCCGTGCCTCGCGGACCAATTGCAAGGTGGCTTCCCAGCGATGTGCTTTGGCACAGGCACTGATACTGCTCGTCAAAGCAGCGATATCCGGGGGACATTGCATGCCAAAGGCCGTGCTTAGAAGATGCAAGCAACGACTCCATTGATGACCCTTTTCACAGCTTGATATCACAGCACCCAACATGCTTGCATCAGGAACTACCCGCTGAGCCGTGGACTCCTCGAGCAAATGTATTGCCCATGGCCAATGTCGTCCACCACATGCAACAATGGCTGAATGAATTGCAATTTGATTGGGCTGAATATGTTGGAGCCGTCCCTGCTCCAGCAGCCACAAAGCCAAGGTCCAGCGGCCCGTTTGACAAGCTAACACAAGGCTACCGAGTGTGATTTTGTCCCATTCATTGGAGCCAATCTCCGCTGCGATGCTCAGTGCCAAAGTCCAGCGTGCTACTTTGGCACAGGCGCTTATTGCGCTGTTGTAAGCTGCCAAGTCAGGGAGTCTCTTGAGTGAAGTGCAAGAAAATGTCCTCAGGTGAAACAGGGCATCTTGCCAGCGATGACACTTCTCCAAAGAGCTGAGAAGCATATTCAGGGCAGTTCCATCCAAGATTTCGAGTGCAAAGTGTTTCTTCAAGTTCCTGAAAATTGGAAGCACCATATCAGGCCGACTTTTGGAAGCACTGGCAGCAGCTTTGAACGTGCCGAGGTTGGGAGTCATGTTACTGGCCCGCATCTTCTCCAGGACTTGCAAAGTCCAGGTCCATGCAGGTAAGTCCATCTCGTTCCGACAAAGAGCCATCAGGATGGAGTTAAAGTTGGAAGCGCTCTCTGCTTGTTTCAAGGCCATTTGTACATGTCCTCCACTGACTAAAGCTGATACTATTCCATTGCGGCTGACATCGTCCAAAGAAACCTCTTGCCTTTCAGCCTCTTCCAAAAGACTAAGGGACCGCTCCCAACAAGCACCACGACGGCATGCCATGAATGCAGCTGCAAAAACCCCAATATCCGGAGACAAGCGCTGAAGTGGTAGCTCATCAAAAACTTGGAGAGCAGCCTGCCATTGCTCAGATCTGGTCAACCAGCTGATGAACGAACTGTACAGAATGAGGTCTTGATATGCTCCACTTGTCTGTAGCTGAGCCAGGTAGTCCAGAACCTGCTGCCATTGCTCGGGACCTGTGGCTTTGAGAAGCAGGGAGCATGTTATTGCATCAGGCCGACCGCGTGAGCTCTTGAAATCATGGAAAATGCGAACTGCGTCCTGTGGATGATTTGCGCGAATTGCTGTAGCAATAGAGGCATTCAAACTCGATGACAACTTGCTGGATGTTGTGCTTGATGACGAAGCCTTCAAAGAACCCTTCAAAGACAGGAAGCTGAAGGACAGCCTTGCATTGTGCAGCTGTTGAAACCAGCTCGTCTTTGTTGACAAATCCCCTCAGGCAGCTCTTCACATGGAGAGTTGCGGTGCGGAATTGCAAACCTTTATAAATGCAGCATTCTATTGCTATTGTGATGAATCGCAGCTACATTACATGCTTGAGCCTGCAGGGGTAGACTTGCCAAATGTAGTTTCGTTGTGCTCCCGTTCTCAAGGCTATATAAAAACTGTTCGAACTCAGCTCTTTTGTGTTCAGCAGCACTTCCCACAATCACGCGTTCTTCTCCGAGAGCCCTGGAAGCGGGTCAGCCTACTGGAGAAAACGACTTGGCAGTCATCAGTGGCAGTACATCTGCATTCTGAAAAAAGGGAAGGGAGTTGACGAGTTGAAGCCTGTGCCTGAGGCCACCCTGTAGCAAGTCATGTCGTCGAATAATATCTTCGTCCGTTGGAGCAGCTGCTTCGCCATACTTGAAGGCCCCAGCAATTCAAGCCTTGTGAAGGGCAAGTAGCAATCATTCCGATTCCCAAATTCTGCAAGCTGTATGCACTAACGTGGACGGCCTGAAATACCATGACGTTTGTCTTGAACTTGCTCCTGAGATGGCACTCAAAAGCTCAAAAGATCTCAAAAGCCTATTGGGCCCATTGGAGCTGAGTTCCTGACGTTTCAGCTGCCAAACGAACTTGTTGGGTTCGCTGCTCGTCAAAGCTGAAACCAGTCTGTCACACTTGTGGCAAGACCATCTTGTCTGTATACAGTACTTCTTTGTCGGAAACAAAAAGGCAAGAAACATTAACACCTGTGGCACTGTCTTCAGAGCCCACCTCTTTCTCAACAAACAGCCGGGTGTCCTCAATCGTGTAACTTAGTATGCTGAGTGCCACAATGCAGGAATCATTGGCATGCCTGGAAAGAGTGTCATCAAGCCCTGCCTCCCCGATCGATTTTTCAGATGAAGCTGTTCCCTCAGCAAGCGCTTGGTGAACCGCATCATACCGCATCACAGGATGTTGAAACTCTTCATGGGTCACATCCAACTTGCCCTGATTCTACAGGAGTTCCGGCCCAATTCAGGAGCAGCCCACCACCAGCTTTCGCATGCCTGCTGCAAGGACTTTTCCTGCTGTCCCCCCGAAAAGAACGTCCTGTCAAAACCGGCAACGAAGCCTCTTGATATTGTTGAGCAGCATCACTGCCTGCAATCACAATAGACTGCACGCGCCAGAAAACATGTGCAGCACAAGAAAAACCTCATGCCTTCACCTTGCAAACCAAAAGCGCTAAGCACCATAAGAAACACATAGAAAAACACATTGAAACAACACAAATTGACACCTTGTGCTATCCAATCGGTGGACTGGCGGCCAGCCTTCTGCTTTGGAAGGAGGGAGCCAACATCCAAACAAATAACCCAGTCCTGAAACTGAAGCAAGTGACCAAGTAGGCCAAACAAAATGCAAAGCGTTACTCTCCATTTGAATGGATGACTTCAACGTGATCCGATGTTTCAAGCATTCAAGTGGCTGCAAACACACTCAGCTCGCTTCAAACTGGCGTCGTAAATCAAGGTCAGGCTTCATCAGGTCGACCTGAACTTGCACAGGGCAGCACTCCAGCTGCCCAAAACAGTGTTCAAAACACTCTGAGTAGCGGTTCAATTAGAGATTTGTGATATGAGGTGATGGGTGCTGCATTAAGGAGATTAAGGAGGACTCAACTTTGAGCTGGCTTACCAAAATAGTCTAGTGGGTTTCTGTTGAGTTCGATTTGAGGCTCTGCTTCAGCCCAACACGCTGGATTGTCTGCAAGGTCGTCTCTCAACAACTGGTGAAGAGCTTCAATAATGAATGTTGGATCTTAAATATCATATCCCGTTCCCCCCTTAGCAAACAACGGAGGGAGTCTGAATAGAATCGTTACCACCAAAGGTAGAAGTATTAGTAGTATTAGTAGTAGTAGTAGTAGTAGTAGTA